ACCCGGGGAACATGTAAAAAGGGTCAAAATTTTTTCTCTTTCTTGGGTTTAAAAATTATAGAACATTCTGGCGGGATGACATTATGTAAAGTGTTATGAAATTTGAAAGGATGTTACACATTAGTTATTATCAAGGTTTTTGATATTCCTCAGTATCCCCTGGGGAGTGGCGACGTATCTGAAGCTCGCTCGTAACTCGGATTTTGGCTTGCAACTCAAAGAAAAAATCAACCGAGCAACGGTTGTAAGTTGGGGCACTCGTAAGTCAAGGTACCCACTGTATATTATACACCATAGAGAAGGTTAGCATAGGCACCACTGTGACCAAAAATGCAAGTTTTTACAGATGAATCTCCTGCCAGCGTGGCCGTGACTAGCTCTAGCTCAGTCCCCTCAATACCGTCACCATGACTCACGAAATTGTAATGACATGAATGCAAACAAACCAAACCACCAACGGGGATAGAACCCACAGTCATAAAACTCCAGCCCAAAACGCGCTAGTCACTAGGCCAGCTGGCTACAAGAAGATTCATCTAACTAGTTACAGTGCTGCCTATGACTATGAGTGCCAATTTAAACAAGTTTCCGAGTTACGTGCGTTGCTCAGTCGATTTTTTGCTTTGAGTTGCGAGCCAAAAATCAGTTACAAGCGAGCTTCAGATATGCTGCCACTCGCAGGAGATACTGAGGAAATATCAAAAACCTTGATAATAACCTATGTAACATCCTTTCAATTTTGATACCACTGGTAATGCCATCCTGCCAGAATGTTCTGTAATGTATGCCCTAAGTAAAGAGAAAATTCTGGAACACATGTAATACGTGTTCGGCAGGCTGGCTGGTTGGGTGGCTGACTGGTTGGGTGGCTGACTGGTTGGGTGGCTGACTGGTTGGGTGGCTGACTGGTTGGGTGGCCAGCTGGCTGGCTGGCAGCTGGTTGATTTGGCTGTCTATCTATCTGTATCTATCTCTCTCAGTCTCTCTCTCTCTGTCTGTCTCTGTCTCTCTCTGTCTCTCCATCTACCTTTGATATACCTTTGAAGAGTTTCGAGAGTTTATCTACTCTCTGAGCCCGGCCATGGGCCAGGCTCATCTGGTGCTTGCCTGGTCAACCAGGTTGTTGCTGCTGGAGGCCCGCTGCCCCACATATCCATCACAGCCTGGTTGATCTGGCACCTGGTGAAGATACTTGTCCAGTTTCCTCTTGAAGGCTTCTACACTTGTTCCAGCAGTGTTTCTGATATCTTCTGGTAAGATGTTGAAAAGTCTGTGACCCGGATGTTGATACAGTGTTCCTTATTGTCCCCACCGCACCCCTGCTCCTCACTGGGTTTATTTTACACTTCCTCCCATATCTCTCCTCCAGTATGTTATAGGGCAGTGTGCATTTTTGGGGGACCAAGCCCTCAGTCCCTTTCAAGTATATTTATCTGTCCCTTTCTTTTCTTCTCAATTTCCCAATGAGACAGTTAAAAGACTTTCAGGCTTTCCCCCAGTATTTTTTAGGTGCTTTACGGGCCCCCCAATTTTGGGAGCAAAAACCCTCTGTATTTTTTTCCGCTCCAATATTTCCCTTCTTAAATTTGGGGCCATCAGCACTGACCCCAAAAATTCTAAGTGAGGGAGCAACAAAATTTGAAGAGTGCCATTTGTCTCCAGTCTATCTCTACCCTCGGGCTATCTCTATCCCCAAACCTCTCAATCTCTATTTTGCCCTCTGTCTCACAGTTACACATTTATAAAATAGGAAAATTTAAACCTGGGAAAACCCCCCCCCAAAACCCCGCAAAGTGCTATACAAGTTTTGTAGATAAAAGGGCCAACAATAAGCATGACTGGAAAAGTAATACACTTTTTTCACTTGTTCAAAAAAATTTCAAACGTGTTTGACCCTGCCATCGTTTTGTCAAACCTTTTGGTTCATGAGAGCTCTCTCTCGAGACAGAAAAGTGAGAGAGGGGAAGACGGGAACAACAGGCAGACAAAGACAAAAAGCAGGGGCGAGATAAACAGACACAGCTAGACAGAGACAAATATAAGGATAGAAACAAACAGACAAGACAGAAACAAAACAGCCCAGACATGTTTATGTGAAACATTTAAAATAAAGCCAAGTCAGTGCATGATCATCAAATGTCACTCCAATGCTGCACTGTCACAGGGGAGCACCCTTCATCTTTACACAATGCTTCAAGGGGTTTCATATATACTCCCAAAATTTCCAGACCATTGCCCGGGACCCGCCAAGAAAAGCAAAAAATTATTTTTTAATTTTTTAAATTAATTTTAGATATTGGGGGTTGACGTGTCGGGGGTGGTTTTATGAAGGGTGAGGTTAAACATAGAATTGAAAGGGGGAAAAAAGGGGGGGGTGGGGCGTTGAGGTATTTTGTGGGTAAAAAAAAGTTATCTATGGAGGCAAAGAAAGGGGAAAGTATGAAAATATAGTAGTACCAAAATCTTTTATGGGGGTGAAGCTTTGGGGGGGGAATTCAGCAGCGAGGGGACGGTTGGGGGGCAGTGGGGGATGTCCCTTTTTTAAGGGGAATGTTTGGTGTAAAATTTTTTAAAGGAGAAAAAATTTGGGGTGTGGAAAAATTTGGGGGAAGGGTGGATTTTAAAAAAAGTATTAGCCCGAAAGGGGAGAAAGGGGGGTTTTTGAGGTGGGTTTTGGGCAAATTTAGAGAGAATGGATCAAAGTAGAATGACATGGAAAGCATATAAATCTATAGGGAAGGAAGGCGGGTAGGGGTCGTCCTCGAAAGGGGTTTGGGAGAGAGGGGGTAAAGGAGGTTTTGTGGGTGAGGGGTTTGGGACTTCCAGCAACCCGGCGTGAGGTGTTAGATAGGAGTGAATGGAGACGAATGTTACTTGGGACCTGACGATCTGTTGGAGTGTGAGCAGGGTAATATTTAGTAAGGATTCAGGAAACCGGTTATTTTCATATAGTCGGACTTGAGTCCTGGAAATGGGAAGTACAATGCCTGCACTTTAAAGGAGGGGTTTGGGATATTGGCAGTTTGGAGGGATATGTTGTGTATCTTTATATGTGTATGCTTCTAGACTGTTGTATTCTGAGCACCTCTGCAAAAACAGTGATAATGTGCGAGTGTGGTGAAAGTGTTGAATGATGATGAAAGTATTTTCTTTTTGGGAATTTTCTTTCTTTTTTGGGTCACCCTGCCTCGGTGGGAGACGGCCGACTTGTTGAAAAAAAAAAAAAAAAAAAAAAAAATACATTTTTCTTATTTAAAAACCCGTAGCAAAAAAAAAAAAAATTGGGGTGGTTTTTTGGGAGCTGGAACAGATTAATAGCATTTCAATTAATTTCAACGAGGAAAATTGATTTGATAAACAAGCAAATCGAATTACGAGCTCGGTCATGCAACGAATTAAACTCGTAAGTCAAGGTACAATGTATTTTTATACACCTTAGGAAGGTTAGCATAGGCACCACTGTAAACCACAGTTTGCAAATTTTTTACAGACGAATCTCCAGCCAGCGTGGCCATGACTAGCTCTAGTTCAGGTCACCTCAAAGCTGTCCATCGATTCATGAAATCATAGACATGATTGCAAACGAACCATACCACAGGGTGGGATACAACCCCGGGTGGAGAGTCTAAAATTCCAGACCAAACACAAACACGCCTGGATTTGTGGCCACAGTGGTCCCATGCAACCTTC